TGCATGTGTATGTATGTAAAGGGGCTTTCTCTTTTCCTTCCCAATCGGAGATAGCAGCCAGGCCCATTCAGCCCAGCCACAACTATACCCTTTGCAGCACCACCTGCTGGGCAAAAGCCAATACCACATGATCAACGAGAGAGCAGACAATACCAGCAAAATACACTCTAAACTGAGGTGTATGAACTGCCAGTGAGAACAGTGTACACGCTTCCATCCTCTTATTACACCCATAGGAAACAGCTTGTGAGACCTAAGAACACACAGAAATAAATTCTTAATTAAAAACAACCCCATATCATGACTAATTGAGATTGTCACAATTGTAAAGACAGACATTTTGTAATAAAAAGGGAGAAGTTAATCTTACGGTCCAGAAACAGAAGACCCGAGGACCATCAAAGAAGAAGAGCACAAGTGGAATGTAGGACCATATCCAGGGAAGCAGCGACATCAGAGATGGAGGCAGAGATGAGGACATGGAGAGAGGGAGCAGCTGAGGACTCTAGACTCATGGAAACTGAAAGACTATTGGCTGGTGGCCAGGGGGCAGGCTTATAGAAGGTGCCCTTGGGTTGTTTAAATGATTATATATTCCTGAGTGTTTTTGTGTACATCAAAAAAAAAAAAAAAAGAGAGAGAATAGAAGCAAATATTGTTAAATGGTGATACATGGAGGGGATTATTATCATTGCAATGAAATAAAATACGACAGGATGAGTGCAAAATTGATGTTCTCCCATGTAAACTATCACTCGATGCACAATAAAAGCTTTAAAAAAAAAAAAAAAAAATTAAACACCATTAAATTTTTTTTAAAGATATACTCTTTTAACAATAAAACCACTTTGCATAATTAAAAAAACAACCCCACAATGCCCTGGAGACAACAGACAATTTTAGCCCATACAAAGAAACAAGAAGAAAACAGCTCAAATAAATGAGCAACATACAGAGCCAGAGAACATTTCTGAGGAAGAAAAGGTAATGGAGTGAACTGAAAAAGAATTCAAAAGAATAATATTTATATACCTTCAAAGGATTGACAGAAAGTTTGAGGGCAAGGAAAACACAGATAAGACTTCAGAAGAATTTAGGAAAATATTACAAGAACAGACAAAACAAATGCACAATTTGAAATATAAAACCTGCAAGTAGAAATCCAAAAATATTCATGCTAAGATTTCAGAAATAGTATATTAGAAAGGTAAAGGAAGAGATTTGAAGCAATGAAGTCCGAATTAATGAGTTTGAAGATCCTCTCTGTAAACCTTCACTCAATTCACAATAAGCAGTTTTTTTAAAAATTAAATAAATAAAAGAACCAATTCTATGATGGTTATGGGGAAATTGACACTTGTTAACATGGGTGACAGCAAAGGCAGTGTACAACAAGAGGGAGGTTAGCAGAGGAAAGATGAAGGTAGCGGGAGGCAGGGAGGAGTCCAAGAGTTAAAGTGAATGGAGATAAACAGTGTTAACTGTTGGCACATGGCATGGATTGCAATCATTATAATGAAGCAAGTATTCTGATTTATTGAATGTAAAAGTGACAGTGATGATCTGCTCTGTAAACCTTCACTCAATGCACACACAAAAAGTTAAAAAATGAAAACACAGTGAGGTGTAATCCTTTGCAGTCACTTTAAAACAACGAGTTTTCGCTCCGTGACTGAGGTAGAAGTGACCTGCTGGCACTGTGCTTACAGAGCTCAGCTGCTAACCGAAAGGTCAGTGGTCTGAATCCACCAGTTAGTTTCCCAGAGAAGGATGTGGCCATCTGCTTCCGTACAGACAGACAGCCTTGGAAACCTACTCTCTTCTGTACGGTTGCTGTAAGTCAAAGTTGCCTCGACACAGCGGGTTTAATTTCCTTCTTTTCAGATGGTGGGAGTTATACAAACAGTGAACTCTCACTTTGTCCAAGACCGTACTTTACTGCAGCCACTGGTCAGTGATTACGAGAAAGAGGTAATAGTAATTTCTATGGCCAACAGTCTGGTAATCTGCAGAAAGTGTCCTTCCCCACTACACTAATCCGCTCCATTTATGCACATGTCACCCAGGACTCAGATCCCCCACTGGGCCCGACCCAGGAGATCCAGCAGAAACGTTCCACCAACTATAGAATGAATTCCAACCAAGTGAAAGGACAGAGGAATGGAGGTTCTGGGTGTTTCTATCAGGAGATGTGAGATCATCTGATTAGGGAAGAGGGTCCCAGGCAGGGAGAATGGCATCTGCAAAGGGAGACGAGGCAGCGGGAAACCACAGGGCGTTCAGGGTTACTGGGAGTGTGGGTGACTCACCTTTGCAGTTTGCGGAACTCCATGAAGATCTTGTTGCGCTTGTACTTCATCTTCCCATGAATGCACATGATAGCCACGCTTTTCACCAGGGCCTCCAGAGCCTTCCCGTAGTACTCCACACAAGCGCAGGTGCTGTGGGGGCGCCAGGGCTTTAGGGGCACTGGACACGTAGGTCCTCCGTGCCCAGAAAGCATGTTGAAGTACGTTCATGGAGGGTGGTGTTGAAGACTAAGGCATTGGCCCGACTCAAGGCAATCCCCTGCCCAATGGGATCAGACCATTGTGAGCCGCAGGGTTGTATTATAAGGCTGATTTTCAGAAGTGGATCACCAGTAATTTCCTCCTAGCCTGTGTCTGGAAGCTTTGCTGAAACCTGCTCAACACCACAGGGACACATGACCCTCCACTGACAATGGGGTGGCTGTGTACAAGGTGCCTTGGCCAAGAAGCTCACAGCAAACACTGGGCCATTACCAATGCCGGGGAGTACCTACGTCTAAGCTTTACCAGGGGAAGAAACCCCCTCCTGTTTAAACAGTTAACAAGGTGGCTGCTAACCGAAAGGCTGGAAGTTCAGGTCTACTGAGATGCCTCAGGCCTGGCAACCCATTTGTGAAAATCTAGTCGCGGAGACCCTCTGGAGTGCAGTTTTATTCTGCCACACATGGGGGCGCCATGAGTCCAAGTCAATGGGGCAGTAACTGAAGGAGCTTAAGCTTAGAGGTTGACCTTTCTGTTATCTGCAGCCAAAAGCATTCTGAACCCACAGAACCACTCTGAGAGAACTGAAAGGTCAAAGGCGTGCATCTTCCTGAGGCCTGCCTCTCCTCCCCAAGGACAGAGGTCTTACCTGAAAAAGACCAGGTGTTTTTCCTGCTTACGATTCCTTAGAAAATGTACCAGCTGATTAAATTTCTCATCTGCCTTACAAACCTATGAAAGAAAAGGAAAAGGAATAAAATTAAACATGCATATTGACAATAATCCCACCAGCAAATTTCAATTTCAGCCTTCAATTTTAAGAAGTGTAATTTCCTGGTGTGGCGCTGTGGGATAATGCACGGGACCGAAAGGTCAGTTTGAACTACAAGGTCAGCAGTTCAAACTCTGTAGCCGCTCCTCAGTAACCCTACACAGGATTCCCAAGAGCTGGAACCGACTAGACAGCACTTAACAACAACAACGCCACTAACAAAATTCCCAAGGGCCTTTCCACTGCCTGTGTGGAGACATCTATAAAGCCTCCTTCCGTTCTTTTTGCTGAACCCCGGTGGCACCATAGGTAAGCACTCAGCTGCTTGCTCTAGGCTCTGGAGGAGAAAAAGCCTTGTGATCTCCTTCTATCTACTCTTACAGGGCCGCTCTGAGTCAGAACAACGCAATAGCGCTTCCCGCTAGGACATCAGCAGTTCCCCGACGCGGATCCAATGACACAACAGCTGAGTCAGAGAGCAGAATGCTTTCCTCTGACATGGTCACCTTTCCAGTGACTCTCTCTCTGAGGCTGTTTCACCTGCACGTCCAGCCCTGCCCTCTGTGATTCAGGATGAAACACATGCTGGGGCTTGTACCCAGCAGCACCAGTGTCTGTGTGCTAACATTAGATAACGTGGGGCCAGAAGACCATGCAGAAAAGCCACCCTATGTGCCCATATTAACTTCATATTCACTCACTCAACAAGGTGGACCATCCCTGCCATTTGTCCTGGCTCCGCCCCCAGCTGCATCTGAAAACAGGCCACAGGGAAGCACTTCATAGAGAGACTTTCCCAAAACACAGGTCCCTAGCACATGACCGAATTCCCTCAGGGCAGGAACCTCCACGAAGGGATTCCTGGTGCTCACCATGTAGTAGTTCTGGAGACGGGAGGGAGTTTTCTGGGTGCTGCTGGCCGCTACACCCTTCTCCTTCACTGAGATGCGGACGGGGTTCCGGAGGCCTGCTCGCACCAGGTTCTCCACTTCCTGCGTCTGAGTAGCCGAGAAGAGGCCTGTTCTTCTCTGCTTCGGCAAAAACTCCAGAATGGTGTTGATACTGGAAGAGGAGGCGCCAGTTGAACCCTCAGCTGACGGCAGCAGCAGGCAGTGAGCTGCCATCGAGTCACGCTGGCCACCCAGCAAGCAATTACAACAGAGGGAAACCCTGCCTTCTCCCACGATAGGCTGGGATGAGACCACCATGACCCCACCGCCAGCCCTTTCTTCATAGTCTACATTAGTCTGGAAGCTCTGATGGAGACTGTTTAGCTTCACAGCAAAACCCAGGCCTCTGCTAACAGATGGGAGACTCTCTTGAATGGAAGGCAAGAATTCTACCACTGCCTCTTATGACACTACACATTTACAGCAGACATTAATGATATGTGGGATTACAAGCAGTTTTTGTTTTCTTCTTTATTGCTGTTAAGTACTGTCGAGTCAGTTCCAACGCACAGCGACCTTGTATAGGGTTTCCAAAGAGCAGCTAGTGTGTTTGAACCACCAACCTTGTGCTCATACTACCTCTGAGGTTGAGTGCTTACAAAATAATCATATAATTACACTTTGTAATATATTGGGAGGAACACTCATGGCACAGGGAGGAGTACTCAGCTGCTAACTAAAAAGTCATTGGTTCCAACCCAGCAGTCACTCTGTGGGAGAAAGACTGAGCCGTCTGCTTGGAAACCCGACAGCTCTACTGTGCCCTATGGGGTCCCTGTGAGTCAGAACCAACCTGTCAGCAACGGGTTGGGTTTGATTTTGACTGGAACAGGGTAAACTCAAACAGCAGGGTCAAAGTCAGAGCAAACTTTCAGAGACTGAAGCCACTAAATTGTCCACTTTAAATGGCTGAACTGTAAGATGCGTGGATCATTTCTTAAAGTCATTATATTTTTCTATGGAGCTTTTAAGAATCCATGGAGGAAAATGCATTTTAAGAATCTTAAAGATAAAGGATAAATTCATTAACCCATTGCACTTAGGGGACGATCAGAAATATAATATATTGTTGTTGTTGTTAAGTGCCATCGAGTCGGTTCTGACCCATAGCGACCCTGTACAGGGTTTCCGAGGCTGTAAATCTTTACGGGAGCAGAAAGCCTCATCTTTCTCCCACAGAGCAGCTGGTAGTTTCAAACTGCTGACCTTGTGGTTCTCAGCCCGATTCGTAACCACTACGCTATCAGAGCTCCCACTGCACTTAGGGAACAATTAGAAATATAAAATAGCATAAGCCAAAGTCATGTGAAGACAGGTATGCTGTGGACAGGAGTATGAACAGGCACACCTTTGGAGGATAAAGTGACAATTGTAAAATGACAAAAGCACATGCCTTTGGGCCCTCCAGAAATTCCATTTGTGGACACTTACTACACAGAAATCCTTAAGCATGTACACAGAGTAAATTGAAAATAATGGTCACAATGTATGGACAGAAAAGGACTGAAACACTCTTGTCTCCACAAGCTGAGAATTGGCTAAATAAGAAATGTGACATTCACAGCAGAGAGCACTCACTGTCCAGTCCCCCCAAACTCAGGTAGGGTCATGACCCTAACAAAGGGTCACCCTCAAAAAGCATTAAGTGACTAAACAAGGCATCACACAGTTTAGATACCACACTGCTCTCTGTTGTATGGAGCCCTGGTGTGGCGCTGAAGGGTAAGTGCTTGACCACAAGGTCCGTTTGAACTGCAAGGTTCGCAGTTCAAACTCAACAGCTGCTCCTCGAAAACCCGATACAAGGTTACTGTGAGTCAGAACCGATGTGAAGGCCCTGAAAAACATCTGTTTTAGAAAATTACATAGTAACATAACTACCTATGAGTGCAAGTAATCAATGTTCTTGTTATACAAAACATCTTTAAAAGTATCAACAATAAACTATTTTTGAAGGCTTCAAATTTCCAAAGAGCCCACACTTACAGGGCCCTAGAAGATTACAGAACATCCTGAGAAAATTGTCCTGATAAACTCCTTAACCTGGAAGTCACCTTCTAACTAACAGCAGGGTAAGTCAGAGACTTAGAACACTCAGAGCAAATCCACCGTGAGAGACCCAATGGCCAGGCTATTGGAACGCAAGGGGGAGAAGGCTGGGCAGGGAAGGCGGGGAGAGGAAGTGACCAGGGGAGGGGCTAATGAGACAGCAGGCACCTGTGACACACGGGACCAATGTCACTGGACACTGATTGTACTACGGCTGAATGGGAACCTGGTTTTCTGTGTACACTTCCATCAAAAATATAATAAAATATCAAAAAGAGAACTCACTTAAAAAAAAAAAAAAAACCTTCTTCTGCAGAAGGGAGCTGGGAGTCGTATGTGGTTTTGTGGTTTTTTTTATCATACACATGCATTACTGCTTCTAAAACATGTTAAGAAGAGAACCACTGAGTCGCAAAGTCATGAAGGAATTCAATTTTGCTTTCTTCTCTCGCCGGTACCAGCATCCACCTCACAGCCAATGAGAGCCAATGAAAATCGAGTACCTTGCCTCAAATCCCATGTCCAAAAGTCGGTCGGCTTCATCCAGCACGAGGACATCCAGGGCTTTCACACAACTGGCCAAATCCAGCCCATCAGCCTTCCTCCGGAACATGTCCTCCAAGCGGCCTGGAGTTGCCACAACAATGTTTCCCCTTCAGACAGAAAGTTCACATCACTGCTCTCTGGAGAGCTCGAGAGTGGGCATATGCCCCCCAAAATCATCAACATCACAGTTAAGAGAAGGACCCCCAAAAGTACAGCAGGGTAGAAAATTCAAGGGTTGAGAATACAGACTTCAGTTCTAGGCTGCATGATCTCAAACTCTGGTCCAAATCTCACCCCATTTTCCATAGGTAACATTTCACTGGCGCCTAATCCATTCTCGTACCTAGTCTCCATGGCTGCATCTGCTGACACCAGCTGCCGTGAGTCTGTCAGACTTTAGGGTCCACACAGTCCACCAGGGAAGAGCACGGAGCCATACCCAGAGTCCCTCACAGTCTCATAAACTGGACAGACCAGTTCTACTCTGACCTATAGGTTCGCTACAGTAGGAACCGACTTGATGCCAAGAGCACACAGACATGAGCAGAAGCCACCACACGTACCCCTGGGCCTTGAACCTCTCGACATCTTCTCCAGGGTTCCTGCCTCCAATCCACAGGATCTGGCTGAACAAGACAAAAAGGTCTGTGAGCAAATCAAATACAGGAACCACCTGCGGTGAACCAGGACACGGCACCCCACTTACCTAAACTGAGGGAAGGGCTTTGTGAAGTGTGCCAGGACCTCATCTATCTGAACAGCCAGCTCCCGTGTGGGTGTGATGATTATGGCTCCAACCTGTGTATGCAGAGAGGGGCAGAATGAGCAGGGCCTACCTGCAGAGCTGAACACGCACCTGGCCCTCCTCAGTCACGGTGACCACCAAGCGGTTGTTGCCAAATGCTGTCTAGTCAGTTCTGACTTATAACGACCCTGTGCCACTGAACAGAGTCCCCACTGAAACAGCAGCGCCGGTCACGATAGCCACAGTCCACCTTCAGCGTTCACGCGATGCATATTAGCAAACGTGCCTACTCAAGAACGTGTACTTGTGACCCTGAAATCATGACCCTCAATGCTTTCACGATCCCTCAGATGTGCTGGGAGTTGTGAACACTATGAGGTGTTGTGAGCTGAAGGCGAGCAGGATGCTGCTCTCTTTCTGGGTCAGTGCTCGGGCTGTAAGCAAGTGTCCCTTTCCCTATTTACTGTAAAGTGCCATAGAGTCGGTCCCAACTCATAGTGACCCTGGATAGGGTTTCCGATGAGCAGCTGCTGAGTTTGAATCACCAACCTTGTGGTTCAAACCGATCTTAAGGTCAAGCGTCATACCAGGACTCCCTGCCGCTATTCAGTGCCAGGTTTTTCATTTGTTTCAGCTTTTTGTGGATTTCACTGTTTAGAACTGTTTAACTCCAGGTGGAGTGTTAAAGTGCTGTCTAGCTTAGTTAACTGTAAGAAGGCTGTGATGTGCTTTACAGAGGAACTAAGTCAGAGAAGCTCTGTTTGCGTGTGACTTACAGTACTGTGGGCCATGTGTCCAATGTCAATGCATCAACAACAGACACTCATGAAGGTGTCATTACACGTAAAAACACACAAAACAAGCTGATGCAGTGACTGGCTGAGAAAAGGTTGGGGGACCAGAGGCTCACAGGAATCTAGCCCTATTATAGCCACCGAAATAATTGTGCCCATGCAAACCAAACCCACTGCTGACAAGTGGAGTCCAATTCACAGCGATGCTATGAGCAGAGCAGAGCTGCCTTGTGGAGTTTCGTAGCCTGTCATCTTTCTGGAAGCAGACTGTCAAACCTTTGTCCTTCAAAAGGGCAGGCAGATTCAAACTACTTATCTTTTAGCTAACAGCCGAGTGCTTTAACCACTGTGCCCACAAGGCTCCTGGTTAATGGCCTACTACTCACTCATTCTGACAGAAGAATGAACAAATCTGTCTTGGAAACAGTACAACCAGAATACTCATTAGAAGCGAGAATGGCAAGACTGCATCTCCGGTACTGTGGACATGCCATCAGGAGGGACTGGTCCCTAGAGAAGGACATCATGCTTGGGAGAGTAGAGGGTCAGTGAAAAAGAGGAAGATTCTCAATAACATAGATGCAGCAAAGGGTCCAAACACGCCAACGACTGTGAGGATGGGGCACAACCTGGCAGTGTTTCCGGCTGCTGTGTGCAGTCACTGGGAATGGGAAGCGATTCGACGGCACCTAACAACAACAACTCACTAATCCATGATCACAGAACATCATTACTGCAAATCACGAGAACTGACAATATCACGCATTGTCTCCCAAAGTCTTCAACCAGCTGCTTGCTCAACTGCAAACTCTCTGGTGAGTTAGTGACACTAAATCCCTCGGAGACACTCACCTGACTTTTTTTTAACTTTTCTTCTCTTCTCAGAAGAATTTCCACGATGGGAATGACAAAGGCAAGGGTTTTGCCACTACCTGTAACCTACAGAGGGGGAGAGAGTTTGACTCTGATTTTCCCCAAAGATCATTTTTGGGGGGTGGGGAGACACACAAAGACAGGCCCCATTTCTACCAGATACTCACTGCTTCTGCGGCGACGTCTTTGTTCTTCATGAATAGTGGGATGGTCGCAGACTAGAGAGAGATTACAAAGAACTGGTGACAGAAAGCCATGAACCCACAAAACCAAAAGCCCGTTGCCACCAGGACGATTACGATTCCTAGGGACCCTCTGGCACACAGTAAAACTGCTCACTAGGGTTTCCAAGAAAGCAAGCAGCTTCATCTTTGTCCTGCACAGCAGCTAGTGGGTTTGAACTGCTGACCCTGCACTTAGCAGTCTAATGCTTGACCCACTGCACCACTGGAGATCCTTATGAACTCACAAGTGAGGCTAAAATCTCTGGAAGCTCAGCCAGGGTGATTCTTGTGGGCCTGGAGACCCTTGTTAATATCTGGAAACACTTTGAGTTGTGGAGTAAAACCAAAACCCACTACCAGTGAGACAATGCCAACTTGGAGCAACCCTAAAGGGCACAGTCAAATGGCTCCATAGGTTTCCAAGGCTATAACCTTCATGGAAACAGACTGCCACATCTTTCTCCCGTGGGGCAGCATGGGGTTCAAACACCCAACCATCTGATTAGCAGCCCAGTGCTTTTAACCACTGAGGCACCAGGCTCCTTAGAGTAGAGGCTGTTGTGAAGTGCTATCGAGTCGGTTCCGACCTATAGTGACCCTGTATAAGGTTTCCAAGGAGCAACTGGTGAGCTTGAACCACCAACCTTGCAGTTCAAACGGCTTTGCAGTCTGACGCATTAACCCACAGCACCACACCAGGACTGGTGGTGATGGTTATGTACCGTGGAGTTGGTTCCGACTCATAGCGATCATAGCAACCCTGTATAAGGTTTCCGAGGCTGCATATCTTTATGGGAGCAGAAAGCCTCATCTTTCTCACACGGAACAGCTGATAGTTTCGAACTGCTGACCTTGAGATTAACAGCCCAATTCATAACCACTACGCTACCAGAGCTCCTTCAGAGTAGGAGTTGTTGTTGTGAAGTGCCGTCGAGTCAACTCCAACCCATAGGGACCCTGTATAGGGTTTCCAAGGAGCAGCTGGTGAGCTTGAACTGCCAACCTTGTAGTTGAAACTGTTTTGCAGTCTGACGCATTAACCCACAGCACCACACCAGGAAACCAGGAATTTAACTACCCTGAAATGCACAGCTCTACACTGTGAACTCTGAGACTGAGACTTGCTGATCTTGTTTGTGCTACATCCCCAAGGCCAGGCACACAGTACTCCCAATTTTTACCTCCAGGCCTGCCTGCTTCCTCTGCCCCTTTCCTGAGGTTAAGGACATCTCAGTTGCAACATTTCAGAACAGGACCCTTGACTTTCCCTCTGAAGTCTGCTATTCCTCCCAATTTTCTCATATCTAAAGTGGAACCACCGTCTACCTGGCTGCTAAGAACAGACACCTCAAGGTACCTCCAGATTCTTCTTTGAATGTTTGTCTCCAGTCCCTTGCCATCACAAAACCATCTCGAATGAGAATTTTTCAATATCCACTGCCTCCAGTCAAGCCCGAGTTCATGTTACGGTTCACCATTGACAACAGCCTTCAAACTGAGCTCCCTGATGCTTTTCTTATCTCTCTCAAGACCATTCTGTACACACAGCCAATGTCCTCTTTCCCATCTAATAGGCTTTGATGGCTTTCCATGACATTGAGAATAAAACTTAAGTTCCTACAAGACCCTGCACAATCCTAGCCATGATTTCCTCATCACTTAAGCTACTCATTCAATGCCAGCCCCAAAGCCCTTCTTTCTGTTCCGCAAAGCTTATTTCCAAGCCCAGGTCAGTGGCCCCGAAACGACCTGCCCCCATTCATCCAGCAGCCTCATGCAAATCCCGGCCCAAAGACACTTCCTCAGAGTGGCCTTCCCTGTAACACCCACCTTCCTTACTGTCCTGTACCTCCTCTTTACCATCTCTCACATCAGTTCACTTTTGTTTCTTCATATCACTTATCACCACCCCAAATTCTCTTATTCCGGTACTCCTGTTCTCTTTGCCCTGCACTAGACCGTAAGGTTCATGAATGGGAACTGCATATCTTTTGTTGTTCTGTGTTGTGTGCCGACAAGTCGATTCCAACTCACAGCGACCCTTCATAGAGTTTCTGTGCAGCTCGTGATTTGAAATGCTGACCCTGTGGTTTGGAGTCCAGTGCTGATCCTAAAGCACTACACCAGGGCTCCTGATGAACAGTAGGTCCTCAGATTTATTCACTGAAGAAATTAATACACTGAGCCGGGATTCTTCACTTAACCCACACCTAACAGTAATCATCACCCACTGCAGGCAGTGACCACACAGCAGGGCTCCTTAAGTGTCTCCCTGAATGTAAAATCACTACAAGAACATACAGCCTCAAAAAAAAAAAAAAGATACAGCCTCAACCTCATCTTTATCCCGCAGAACTGCTGGTGGATTCGAATCTCAAACCTCGCTGCTAGCAGCCCAGAGCTTAGACAACGGTGCCTCCAGAAGGTAACATTTATTGGTCTTTTAAACCCCCACAGGGGAGAAGGATGGAGCATTCTGCTTCTGCAAAGATATTCAGCCTTGAAAACCCTATACAGGGTTGTTATGGGTCAGAATCAACTCGACGGCACTCAATAACAATTTAATCCCCGCAGCATCCCTAAGAGGAAGCTAATATTATTTTGGTCACTTCGTAGATAAGGACATTTGCCCGATGTCTCAAATCTAGAAGTGGGAGGACTAGCATCGGAGTCAGGATCACGAGCCTCAGAGAGGGCAGCGTCCCCCTCCGCCTATCTGACCACTAAGCAGCTTCGCATCATCCGAGCGCCGGCAGCCTGAGACTGGCAAAGTCCTGGCCGGGGGTCCTAGTCTTTTCACCTGTTGGCTGTATCCGAAGAAGCGGGTACCTGGCCAGCAACCACCCTCACTTTCCCCAGCCTTCCACTGGGACCTCGCTGCGTACCTGCACCGGCGTCATGCACGGGAAGCCCAGCTCCCGCAGCGCACCAAGCACCCGCGGGTGCAGCGGCACCGGCAGCGACTCCCAGGAACCTTCTGTCACGTGCTCCATGGTGCGCACCTCCAGCCACCACCGCCACCGCCGCCGCCGCCGTCCCAGACACCCGGATGCCTCAGGTCAGTTACCAGAGAGCACTTCCGCTCCTGGTTGCCTGCGGGGCCGGCCAGAAATAGTGCTCGAGCGGCAACGTTCCGGAGGACGAAAAGGTGCCCTCACGGAAGGATGGTAGTGGGAAGCCTGCAGCAGGGTCGAAAACTTCAGGGACGGCGAGGGCGACTGGAGTTTATCCCGGCCCTTCGCAGACACTCTTCTACCCGCGCCTTGCCAGACCGAGTGAGAATTCGGCGGTAGGACTTTTGCCGGGTCTCTCCCACTTCGCCTCCCATCGGAGGCAGGTGGCAGCACACACAATACGTCTGGGCCATAGTACAGTGGGGGCTGGCTGGAGTGAGCCGAATGTGGACCACCCCCACATCCCTAGCGAGACTCTCACTTTTTAAATAGACAGGTGAAAGAGGATACGAATCCACTCTCCGGTATATAATTAATGTTGGCTTATTTTCGAGGAAGTTACGGAGTCAAGAGTCCTAAACAGTAGCATCTTCTCCACTGACTTGGGCCTTTCATTTGTCCATACATTCATTCATTCATGCTCTCGGTGACCAGTTTTGTGCTGGGCTCACAAGATTCATCTCCCCGTTATGTGTATAGCAGGCACCCTTACATCCATCAGAACTTTTCAAGTATCACCTTCTCATTGATCGTTCCCTTTCCTTTCATACCTCCTACCCAGTTTTATTGTCCGTCTCTTGTAATAGTATATTAATAAACACATTACGTTCATCTCGCCCAACTAAAAGGTAAATTCCAAGACACAGGATTCTTCTGTTTATCCCAGTGACTCGAACTCCTGGTGTGGAGCAGAAGCACTGAAATTCAAACCACAAGGTTAGTGGTTCAAACCCACCAGTTGCTTCTCAGAAAACCTGTACAGGGTGGCTATGAGTTGCAATCGACTCAACACTTAGCAACACAAACGCAGCACATAGCAGTTGCTCACAGGGCTTCAAACTGGTTCCTTCAGGTTCAACTCCTCTCCCCTTAGAAGTTCTTTCTACCCTAGATGACTGGGTCAGAATCGATTTTAGTCCCCTAGGGATAACGTTAAAGAGTCCTGGTGTGGCTCTGTGGGCTAATGCATCAGACTGTAAAGTGGTTTGAACTTCAAGGTTGGTGGTTCAAGCTCACCAGCTGCTCTTTGGAAACCCTCTACAGGGTCGCTATGGGTCAGAATCGACTTTACAGGGATATGTTAAAATGTAGATTCTGACTGAGAATGTCAATTCTTAGGAAAGTGGTATGGTGAAGGGGTGATGGGGGTCAGTGTTGAACTGGAAGCCATGGTCACTCAAGTATTTATGGAATGAATGAATGCAACTGGAAGTACCATTGAACTGGCTCCAATTGTCTCAAACTTCACCAGTTCTAAAGCATTTTCTCTGAAACAGATCATACCATCAGGACACTTCTGACACTGTTTCATAAAACGGGCCTTGCAGACAGCTCTGAAAGCAAATATCCAGAAACAGTATGTTTTGTGGACTCCTGATCTTGGGCCCCTTTACAAGCCTGTTTCCTCATTACGAGGATGATATGGAACATGAGGGAAGAGCCATTTTGAGAGATAAATGAGATACAACTTGTAACGCACTTTAACGTTGTAACAGAACACTTGTGTTCAATCATGAGTAGTTTCTTTTATTACTAGTGGGCTCCTTAGTTTCAGAGGAAGAATTTCAAAAAGAGATCTCTGGTTCTACCACTTTCTCCACCCAAGCCTTTAGGGAAATCATGACATCTCTCTAAACGCAGGTCTCTAAATTCAAAATCCAACAGACAGAGATAAAACTTCCAAACTTTTCTTTTTTCCAAATGAGAATGCTTACATTAACATTTGACTCATCAAAGAAATCATACAGGAAAATCTAAAATAGATTTCTCTTAATATCAAGTTTATCTAGATGGGCATGTCTCATTTCAAATATAAAAAACTAGTATTTAACAAATATGAATTGATCAACATTAATATATAAAACACAAAACACACAGACTGTTTTTAAAAATAATTGTTTATTTACTGAACCTGGGGCATATTAGATACATAACCAATTTAAAATTTACATCTGTTAATTCCATTTTGAAGTGTTTTCACACACACGAAAGATTGGCATGCAACAGTTGTCTGAAGGTGAAATGCAATCACCTATCAATAAGCTGTTGCAAGTATTTTCACCCAAGGTTGAAAAAATTGTTTATCCTGAACATGAAAACCTGTAACAAATTTAATTATATAAAACTCGTTACTTGTAGTTTTCCCCTTGCAAAGATCCAAAAAAAAAAAAAAAGTACAAGTAACTAATATCCATCTCTCACAACATAGTCCTGGATCCCCCCCCCACACCAAAACCAGAAGCTCCTTTAATTTTAAATCCATCATCAGAGACCAAGAGAACACATTTCATTTTATAGAAAACAAAATTCACATGTGCCAAAAATGAAAGACCCAGGAGGGACAAAACCAAAAACCCAAGAACTGACACTAACGTTCAGTACCCTAATTAAACAGTGGCCCAAAATGCCACTGATCAAAAATAAAATAGTGGCTGTATATCATCGTGATGAAATCCAAGAGGATTTAACCCTTTGGCATTAGAAATCCAGATCTTTCCAAATACGTGAGTTTATACTTCCTACGTGCCAAGATTGCAAAACGTGGGCATGCCAGCACAGGAGAAGCAAAAAAAAAAAAAGGAGCTACTGTTCACTGAGACCTGCAGAGATCCGCTTTAATAAGGTTCAGAAGAATCCAGAAAGTGGTTGGTTAATAGCTGCTGCGGCCTCAATTTCAATGGAGGTGATTGAGCAATTTCAATGGAGGTGATTGAGTCCTAAGGGTCAATGTAAAAGTTTAAGAAGGGGGGGGCGGGGGAGAAACAAGGAGAAGAAGAATGTGTATCTAGGCAAGTCTTATCTTTAAAGCAAAAAGCAGAGAAAGAATATATCAAAGTGACCGAACATGGAGACACACTGCAAAGTCAGAGTGCTCTGCCGTGCAAGTGGGAAGAGAATGTCAAAAATCAGACTGCTGTTTCTTTGAAGAAGTCAACAAAATTAATCTTAATTGACTTGAACTGCAGGATGAGAGATCCAAAAAGTGCAGTCACTTTAGTAAAGTACAGTCAAGCTTTGTGCTGATGTCCTGAACAAACCGCTTTGTATGATGAAAACAAAAGGCCTAAGAAAGACTACATTACTCTATATTTCATTCTAGTGTTTGAGTTCTGAAAGTAGCCTGTAGAGTGGAGGCAAAATTCAAATAAAAACTTATGCCAATCAAATGTCAATTTTCCTAAAAAGGTGTCATCCCCCCCAACCCTCCCAATATCTATGAATCACAAAGTAACATAAGCTGTGAAATGTACAGTTCAGAAAATAAAAAAACAGAGACTAATGACATTATTGTGACCAAGATGTTTGGTAAACAGTGAGTTATGAGTTTGGGATCATCAGAGAAAAAGGCTTTTTTAAACAACCCTCCGGACTTCGAAAAATCTCTTCAGGTAGTAGATCTGTCCCAATGTCATGGCAACTAGAACAAGAGCTTCAAAGAAGGACCAAAGGACCACTCTGCTGTTTGTGTTGTCATTGACTGTGGAGGACAAAAAAACAACAAAATTTAGCACCCAAAAGCCAGCACAGGCATTATCTATCATCCCCTCGTCATCTGTGCAAGTCACTCGCCTCAGCACCTTCACGTATTCTCAGTACTTACTTTCCATTGGTCTTTTTGTTTTCCCCAAGCTGCTCAACATACTTAGCAAAGCATTTTACATTTAAAACGGACCTCAAAGAGGCAGTCACACCCACTGGACTTAAATACAGGGATCCTAAACGTCATATTTTAAGGCTGAAAACCAACTCAACCTTCTTCCTCCCTTACCAGCAAAATGTACTATCGTATAATAATCCTTTCTGATGAATTATAAAACTGACTAAAAAGCACAATTAGGAAATTATTTCAAGATCACAAAGCTCCCCTAAAAAGGACCATATACAAAGACAGAATGGGTCCTTCCAAGTGTCTTTTTCCTTAAACAGCTAGTCAGCAAATATACGCCGAGCGCCTGCTATGCTCGTAACACTTGTTGTGGAGAGGACAGGCTTCTCAATGCTGACCACACTGTCCAATTCCAGACGCATTTCACTGTTCCACCATTTAGCCCACTCTCAAACTAAGGATCTGATCCTTAACGAAAGCCTCTGGATTAATTTAATGACACATTCTTTCAAGATTCTCATCAAATTCTATGACCTCTATATTTTGAACTTCAGTCTATGCCACCAATGGTCAATATTAAAAAAGCTACAACTAGCAATACAGTCTAATCAGTTCAGTAAGTGACTAATGTATACTTGAAAAATTATTAACTAGAACTGTCCTATCTATAGAACTAAGATGACTTAGAATTTGCCTAGTTTCCAAAAGGAGAGCTAGAGTTCCTCAAAGGTTGTGATTTTCTTTCCAGAATAGGAATAGACACATGCCCAAGAACATTAACTAAAAACTCTAAAGATTACCAAAATCATTTTAGTTTTATTGCCAGTTTCAAAGCATCAAATTTACTTGTGCTGAAAATTTAGTAACCAATTTCTAACTTAAGGGCAAATTACTGCTATTTTATGATTATGTCTCATGGTTAAGTAAATACTTCAAAATACTACACAACCATTAAAAATGCCAAGGGACATGGTAAATGCTTTTCTTAAAGTCACTAGGAAAAACAGGATATATTGCACACAAACCATTACATAAAATAAATAAAAATCCTATTTCTCGCAATCAAAACAAAACAAAACAAAAAAATTTGCAAGCAAGCAAAAGAAGCCAGACTATAAAGAGCTAACGTGATAATCTCAGACAGCTGGGAAACTGTTCCTTCCTTCCCTACCCTTCCTAGTATTTTCCAAATTTTCTAACTGAACATGTGTTGGCTTTTTCCCCAGTTATATAAGCTTGTTTCTGCGCAGTCGTCTATACCACATGGTCTCTTCTTACTAGTGACTACAAAACAAACAGTTGCAATTCGCACATATTAAAAATGCATCTTTAAATTTAAATGGGACACACTGAAGTACAATATACAAAAACAGCCATCTACAAAGTGACTGTATTTAAGACACTATCATCAAGCCGTTTGCCTATGAGCCCCATATGCAAGCAACACAACATTACTACAACCATATACCAAACAACAACACAACATTACTACAACCATATACCAAACAACAACACAACATTACTACAACC